CTAAAGTCCACCCATGCATCATTCACACGCCCTGTATTGCATAGGACTCACGTCTCGACTCTTTCTCAACTTATGCTATGGATTTACATCAGAGATATATGTCTCGTTGAGCTCCTCAACAACCTCAATAAATGAAATTAATCCCTCATATTCGAACGTTAGGAATAGCGCTATCTCCTTTGTTTCCTATTTTTGGAGACGCATCGACGACGACGGTCTTTTGTCTAGCTCCTTTCGCAATCACCTGGGCTACGCGCGGCGTGCCGCCACAACTCCATTTATTGATCGGAGAGTGTTGCGGCGGTGGTGGCAAGTTATCTTCGAGGTTGCAGATATACGAACGACTCGTCTAGACGGTCCGCTAGACGATCCTTGCAACCCTTGGAAGTAAAGCTGTGCGTCTAGAGAAAAGGAAAGGTCGTTCACCTCCGTACTAAGAACGCGTGGCATGGCCTACTACAATTTTGGAAGATACTATCAAGTATAAAGGGTGCAGAGAAATCCCCGGTCTCTGAAAATTTGCCCGTCTTAGCATCGATAACTTCTACTGACTTTTTGACAGTACACAGTATGTTGAATGAAACCGAGTATTATTCAGAAAACATCCTTTATGTCAGTTGTATGGGCGTTAGACTATAAAAACACATTATTTCTGATGGTTCTGAGCTTTTTCTATTCGATCAGTTCAGAACATGGAGGATATTTGAGAAAAACTATTTTTGGGAGTCTTTATTAATGCAATAGAACAGTGAGTCCACCAAATGATGGAGAATAATTCCAACCAGAGATATTTTTTGTGAAATAATGGGGAATAATGGGAAATAATTGAAATAATGGGCAAAAGTTTTCTCCGTTTTAATGTCATTTGTTTTTGTTGTTCCATGTTTCAATGAATATTCATCCTGATAGTGAATTTTGTATTATAGGATCTTTCATTGAGCGATTTCTACCTTTAAATTGAAATAAAACATGTGTGGAATATAACATCCAGGTCCAGGTCGTGCATTAAAAAGACCTATTGATGCCATCATTATGTGTGGAATGTCCGCCACGACTTCTCTGAGTGGAACGAATTCGAAACGTCCAACTTTCCATGATTCTGGCGCATAAACCTGACTGAATTTGAACGATGGCATGAGTAATGTTGGCTCTGAAGACCGCTGTAGTTTGTAGGTTATTCGCATACACCTACGACTTGAAAAACCCACAATAGAAAGTCTGATGAGGTCAAATCGAATGATCTCGATGGCCAGTTCACATCATCTGCAGAATATCCAAGGTGGCAATAGCTGTGTGGCACGTAGCGCCGTCCTGTTGAAGCCACATGTCGTTGGTGTCTAGAGCAGGGGTCTCCAAACTACGGCCCGCGGGCCAAATCCGGCCCGCCAGTGTCATCAATCCGGCCCGCGACAGCCAATGATTTACTGTCATCAATCTGGCCCGCGACAGCCAATGATTACCTAATTGTTGTTACTATTGCTGTGATAAGTTGAAGAAGAAAACACAGAATGATAATTACTCGGTTTTATTTACTTGCAAGGTAAAACTTA